TACACGAGGATAAGTTAGTATCTAAGCTGAGGTCTCCTTTTTGTGCATTTGTTTTGAAGAAATAGAAAGTTTACAGAGCACTTTATCAAAGCTGGAATTTTCAAAGGAATTTAACTTTGGGCTTTTAAGCACAGTGTTTATGTCTTGCTATATCTTTGTAATATACTAATGTCTCTCACTAATATCTGAATAGTGCACCTTTTCTTCCTAAGGATGTAAGTGAAGCTTATGCTGGAGACATATGTGCATTGTTTGGCATTGATTGTGCTAGTGGGGATACGTTCACTGATAAAACTAGTACTGACATTTCCATGGTAAGTACACCTGTTAATCTGTATGCTTCATCAAGCATTGGAATTTCCAAGTTTCTGTTCTTAAATGTTTTTAATCTCCTGTTCAGTTTAAATACTTCTTTGATGTATGTACAACTGCAAATAATTGTTGGGATGGTTTGTTATACTTCAGGGAGCCTGAACATGTAGATGTATGGTGTATGCAAGAGACACACCCATTTACTGCACTTGGCATCAAATATGTTACTTCAATTTTAGCAAGCTGTTGTGAAACAAACATTTCTGGGGTGTCAGGACCATTATTACCTCTTTTCTCTTAATATGTGGCTGAATACTGAGAGGATGCTGTTGTCCCAAAAGTACTGAGGTATGTATCTGTAGATGCAGCTCTATCTGTTCTATTTATATGTACCTTTACAAAATCAGACGTTAGAATATGGAAGCAGTGTCTAGTGTCAACTCCCAGCAGAGATCAACTTGCATCCAAGAAATAGTATTAATATGTTGTGGTTGGCATTACAACAAGTATTAGGTAATAGCCTGGTAATCCTGAGGAGGATTACATGATTTCATTTCAGTACGGTATTAGACACAAGCTAGATAAGTAGAGCAGATATGCCTGTTTGGAACCTAGGGTTCCTGTGATCAGACTTTTCTGGAGAAACAACATCACCAGATGCAGTGCAACCTAATTATATCTCTTCCTTTATAACCATTACAGGAATCAATTCACATCCCTGATCCTGTCATTTCAGTAGCTATCAAGCCTTCCAACAAGGTAGGAGCCTATGAATTAACCTTTTTCTGTCTGAGTTGCCTTTTTCTGCTGCTTTTATCACTTTGTGCAGGTTAGCAAGCAAATACAGATTCATATAGGCTAAAATGAGTAGTGTTTTAAAATATTCTGTCCAAACTGCTTAAGAACATATCACTCAGATAATTTAACGCATCAGTTGATCTTAGATGGTATCACTTAACCATAGGGAAGCTGTATGTCTTTAATCTAAGTAAACATGGACTTGAAATAGCGAATTCAAACGTATTTACTTCTGTTTTCCGTAAGACAAGTAGAGATAAGCTAAACCCAAGGGATTTTCCTGTTCCATCAGGCTTACAGACAGCCAGGCTAACTTCAGCAGCGTCCAGGAGCTGGAAGAATAAATGCAGTTATAAGTCTTTGGCTGGGCCTCAGAAAATAACCTCATGAGGGTAGAAGTGCTAAGCAGTTGGCAGGAAAACTTGAGGCCTTTTTTGTTGTGTGACTTTCGGAGGCTGAATTAACGTTTTCTTTGCATGTGTAATTCCTTTAGAATGACTTTGATAAATTTTCGAAAGGCCTGCTTTACGAGAGAAGATCCCACCTTTAGAGTCCACTTTGATGATGAGAGCAAAGAGACCATTGTTTCTGGAATGGGAGAACTCCACTTGGAAATCTATGCTCAGGTAATTCTGAAAGCAGGTTCCATGGACTGCGTTCTTGCATAGCTTCCCGACCAAGAGCTCTCCTTCCTTTCTGCCTGAGATGTTGCACTGCTTTGCCAAAATCTATCTGCAGATGGGCTAATTGATGCCAGACTGTAGGCCCGATTTTGTAGTTGGGCCCTTAAGCTCACATCAAACTTACTGGATTGTTTGGAGATAACAACTCCCCTTGATTTAGTGGTAAATCAAGGTTATCATACGGCAACTGCTTTGAGGCCTTTCTAACAGAAAGCACTGTGACATTAATGTGAACAATGTAAACAGCTTCTTGGGGAAGTGTTTAACTTCTTAGTCAACTCTTGAAGATTCTTTCTCCCTAATGGTTCTATTTTGAAGGCTTGTAGTCTACTTAAATGAACCTTCAGTCTGGAATACTTTTACTTTTTGGTACAAAACCAACGGTACAAATCCAATTTGGTACAAGAAATGTTGTATTAAGCATTGCGTTTTGCTTTAGCAGCCTTTGCTTATAATGAATTTTACTGTTAACCATTTCCTATAGGAGAATAATTCTATTTCTGTACTTTTATATGTATGTAATTCCATAATAAGAGGTGATGCATGCAGTAGGGATACTTACTTACAATGATCTGCTTATTTCTTTCAAGCTAATATCTATTCTCTAATTCAGTCTAACGGAGTAGATGTATCTGAAAGATCGACAGAATGAAGAAAAGATGGGTTTTGTCTTGGAAAACTTTAACTTGAATAAAGCAGTTATGCTGTTGCCTTGCCCAATATCTAAAGCTATTGCCCCTAAACAAGGATGACAGTAGAATGACAGTGAATAGCTCATAACATCTCCTTCCCTCCCCCCGTCCCCCCCCCAAAAAAAAAACCCCAAACAAAAAGAACTGGTTAACCCTGAGCAAGTTTCTCACTTTAAATTTATCTGTAATAAAAACACTGCCAATGTATAGGAACAGTTCTGAATTTCATTCTGCTTTTTTTTTTTTTTTGCAGCGAATGGAAAGAGAATATGGCTGTCCTTGCACCATGGGAAAGCCGAAAGTTGCCTTCAGAGAGAACATCTCTGCACCTGTGCAGTAAGTATTCTTTCGAGCAACAAGAGTTTTTTTTTATTAATTTTGACACAGCATTTGATTATGCAGCAGATAAAATGACTGTTGGGTTATTACATCAAAGCAAAACGTACAGGAAAAGTATTACTGAGCAAGGACTTGTTCTTTGTATCTTGATTGTGTGCCCCCCATCTACTTATCTGCCTCCCTTCAAACACTTGTAGCATTTCAGCTTCTTCCGTTGTAGTGCCAGCAGCTCCATTAGTACTCTGCATGCTTTGGCTGACGGCTGTTCTGTGTTACTTTAACACCATGCTGTGGGTGCCAGAGAACTGTCATTTGCCAGGGAATAATCTCCTGTGGGTGGAAAGTAAAAGGTGCACTGGAGAAAGCGAGAAGGTATTTTCTTTGAACAATACTGAACTGGAATTGACTGCTGTAATTTAGCCATACCTGGGCTAATTTTCAACTAGCTTGATCAAGCACCAGTAACAGCACAGAGTAAGCGGCATAGCATGCGGTCCTGTTGAGCTCTCAGAGTTCTCCCTCAAGCTTTTTTTAGCCTGTCTTGTGTTCTATTCTGCTGCAGCTACACAGTTTCTCTCTTACAGGCTAGTTTTATAGCTCAAGTATATCGGTGTAGGATTACCCCTCTTGTCAACAGCAGTGCAGATATCTTGGGACACTCCTCCCTCCCTCCCAAAATGGAGCACAATGAAGCACCTATACTTTTGTGTTGAAATTCAGTGGCTAATACTTTTGAGGAGTTTTTCTACACAGAAAATTCTGAGGAACTAAAGCATCATAGATGCTCCAACTTCACTGAAAGTACAATAGAGGAGGAGACAGTGAAGCTAGGAGTAGGAGTGAAATCTCTCATTGTTATCAGTGGATGACTTATTACAGGGAGTCACACAGTCGAGAGCTTCTGATCTAAAACTCTTTCAATTCCTCTGCATCAGTGTCTTATGAAAACATTTGCCCAGATGCCAATATTGCAATGGAGAATAACATACAACACAAACGCTATTTTGGGAACCAGAGCTGCTGCTGCTTGTGCTATACTCTGTATCCTTCTCTTCTGGGAACAATTGGAGTAGATGATGCTTTTGTGTATTGGTCCTCCGCTGCTGTCCCTCTAATAGAGAAGTGCTCTATTTGCAGCTCCAGGTAGAATGCAGTTAAGCAGCCCAGGATGCTGCAGCTTTTTCTCCCCTTTAGCCCTGGCCAGTTTGGCGATAGTATCTCCCAATAGAAGAGATCTGTCAATGACCATATATTGAACCTCTGCCATTCACAAAAAGGGCCCAGATCAGTTGAAAATTAGTCTCCTGAGGCAAGTGAGAGATTTGTCTCCTGCCTACCTGGGGCAGAAGCAGAGAATGCTGAGACAGATGGGTGCTCTTTGCCCTAACCGCACCCAGTTTGCTACCTGACCTCCAGGCATCAGACCTGTGAATGCCTCGTTATCCCTATGTCCTGAGTTGGAGGTTACGCAGTTGGCAGTCTTGAAGCAAAAAGAGACGTTTTTTATTTTTAGAAATAAGACTTTACCTGGGACACAAATTCATGAAGTAGAACCATGTAGTCAAATTCAAGGTACTCATCACTTCTTTTCTGGAAAGACAAGATGAAAAGGGCTGAATTTGGTGTTCTTTATCCTCCCTGCCCCTTAAGAGCAGTGAATCAGTTCTCTTTGTTATAATAAAAACCCTTTGGTAGATGAAACTGGCAGCTTATATAAACGAATAAAGCGGATGTAGTATACTCACTATAACATAACAAAAAGATACTGTTTTGTATTTCCGTGAACTCCAAAATTGCATTTGAGAGACTGAATATAAAATTTGAAACCATGCTAACTCCTGCCTTGAAGTTAGATTTTTTTTCCAACTTGAGGAAGGAAAGGGAAAAGGGAGAGGGAAATTTGGAAAGGGAAAACCTGGCTGTATAGTCCTATGGTTCTTTAGTTTCGCCTAAATAGTCCTAAATAAAATTGTCAATAGGGTAAGACTTGCAGGGCACTCCAGAGGCCTTACAGTGGCTAACAAGTTATCAGTGGCTGTGCGAGCAACAGAATACCCGCTGGCCTGTGGAACATACCCTATGTGTATCTATTCTTCAGACAACAGAAAAGGAAAAAGTCACTGGTGTGATCAACAAAGTGATCTAGTTTAATAGCGTATTGCCTTCTCTATCCTTAAATTCATCTAGTTTGTTAAATGGGGTTTTTAAATCTTGCCCATGCATAGCCCTACAGCATCTGTGATCTGCTTTCAGGTAGCTATCAGAGGGAGCAAAATATTAACAAATGTTGCTCTCAGAATGAGTTTCTGCGTTTTCTTCATATCCAGAGCTTCATGGAAGTTCATTGGCTATTTTGAGTGGCCAAACATTTGGGCCCTGGAAGTTTATTCTGAAGACTCCTGATATACTGGGTTTTTTACATATGAAGATCTGTTTATTCTAACCTACATACTAAATTTCCTTGAATTTGAAATTAACCATCGCTTTAGGAGTTGTTCTTAATTCCCACCATGTTTTTTCCAAGTAGAGGAGAGAAGAATTGGAGAATCCATAGAATTATTTTAATTCAAAAAAAAAAAAAAAGCTTTTGTCCCTATAGAAACTTTTCTGAAAACAAGGTGCTTATCAGTTAAGCCTATTCCAGGTAAAAAGTCTGCAAGGCCTATTGATTTGGCAGCTAATGACAAATCCAGATCTGCTCAGTATAAACACAGTATTTGTAATCACTCAAACGTAAATTATTCTGTCCTGAGGTATTTTGCTCCCTTCCTTTCTTGTGACACGTTTTCCTGAATACTATTTTCTTATCATAAACTTTAAGCAATGATTACTGTACTAATATAAGTCTAGAAGCATTTCTCCAATTGAGTGAACTTTTCAGATCGGGCAGAAAGCTATCACCGAAGTAAGTGTAATAGGAATTGTTAAATGGGTCATTAAAAAAAAAAAGCAGTATTTCTTCAGTATAAATAGTTCAGCTAAAAATTAAGTTTAAGCTTAAAGTAAGTTTGGGAAGAGCAAAGTAAAAAAGCTAATATTAAGAGTGTGAAATTAAATCAGTACTTTTTTTCTTGATTAGCATTTTGAGGTGAACTAAGAAATGGCTGGAAACTGGAATGCTGCAAACAAAAAGCAGTGTAGATTGTGTTTTATTGAAGTTGAGATGCAGCCCATTGCTATTTTTTTAGGCTTGGGTATTGCAGAGATGTCGAGCAGTATTACTGTGACTGTGATTTGCTTTTCGATAGATATCAGAGGGAGCATGAGTGATCACAGTGTAGCTCAAAAGATAAAGGAGACGATTCCAATGTATGTTGTGCAGATGCAAGAATACTGTCAACTGGGCATACAGGAGACTATAGATGAAAGGTGGGAAAGTAATACAAGAGTCTAATCAAAGTGATGACCTTGACCTCCAGGTGGAAAAGTCAATTTTGCAACTGACAAGCATAAAATAGTGTTGTGGCCAAGAATATACAGCATCTATAAGCAAAACCTATGAAGAGAAGGAACGATCTAATAAACATTCAAGTCATCAGTGAAAGCAGGATTTGCTAGAGTGTGAATGGGTGGGGGGAACAAAAAGCAAACAGTGGCTTAGAAATGAACCAGACAAGAAATCCAGACGCAGTTGAGGTTTCTTGCTTAAGAACTTAACCACAGCTGTAGTCTAGTATCTGCCACAAAAGTTATTTTTCTTGCTGGGCACTGATGGTAACTTACCACTTGCTTCACGTCTTTAATCTGGGCAAGTTCGTACCGAGTATTTTCAGTAGAGTTCTGCCATACCACGTACCCAGAGGCAACATGAGCTAGCAGTCTGATGGGTTCCATTTCTGGGGACACGTTGCCGTGGCTGTCTGGCAAAGATGACAAATAATACACGTTAAGCAAGATTCATAGAGTTGCAGTCATTAATAATACAGTGTAATGAGTAAAGTTTGGAGCTAAAAGTTAGGAGACTTGGCTCGTGTCCCTTGCTGTGTCACAGGCCTCCTTCATAACCTTAGAATAGCTGCTACGTCACCACTGTGTCTGTCTGCCTGCCACTGCTCACTGTTTCTATATGGTCTGTAACATCTTCAAGACAAGGGTTGTTCTAAGGTAAGAGCAGACTTGAGTACTACGGTCAGGGCATCTGATACACTGTGCCAAGAAACCGCCGCAGTGAGTGCTGCGTTGATAAAGCAGATGTAATAGGGGATGTTCAGGGAAAAAATCACATGCAAATCATAAATCAATTCTGGATTTTAGAGTTAATGAATGAATTTGGTAATGTTGTCATTGACAAACGATGTTGAATAAGAGAAAGTAGATGCATCTGTATATATGAATAAGAGAAAGTAGATCCGAGTAGGACTAACAGCCTGATCCCCCTCTGTCCTGGCTGGTATAGTAGACGCATCTGTATATATGAATAAGAGAAAGTAGATCCGAGTAGGACTAACAGCCTGATCCCCCTCTGTCCTGGCCGGTATAGCATAGGCTCCCTCCCACGTTCATGGACCATCACTACTTTAGCTGCAGTTTGCTTCTGGCCACGGAGGACATGCTTTCAATAACTTCTGCCTCCACCACCCCTTTCTTTGTACCTGGTATGTTTTGTGCCACAAGCTCTTTTTTCAGGCTCTTGATTCGATTGTAGAATATGTTATCTTGTTCATCAGTGTTCTTAAGTTCTCCTTCAATTGTAAGGTGTACATCTGGAGCAGCATTTTTGTTGACCAGATGATAAAGAACCTCAGCAGTGCAGTTAACAATATTGTCCTGTCACAGAGTTAATCACATGTATTAATATTTAAGTAAATACATGTATAACATTGTTAATTCACACTAGTAAAATCTATTCTTTTTCTTCATGGAGTTGCCGACCTATAGAGAACTGGGATTATTTAATCAAATTGATAGCATCTATGTGAATATATTTTAAAGGTAATTTTCTTGCTTGTGTTCCTCAGTTGGAGAAATGGGTTAAAATAACTCTGATTGGAAACTGAATGATGCCAAAATGTCCTTGTCAGCCCTCAAATATCTTCCCTTGTCACGGTGGTAGGCAGCAGATACTATTCAGGGCTTTTGTGGTGTAGAAATTGATAGTTCCCTTTTGGGGGAGATTCATCGGGTTTTTTTGCTTTTCTTTTTCTTTGCACCTGATTTGCAACACAGAAAATTTTTGAAACACAATGGAAGTATTAAATGTGTGCCTCCTGGCCTCAGCTAGGATCAGCAGCATGAAGCATTGGCTTTTTATTACACGTCAGGAGTGCCAATTTCTGCCCATAGAATTTTGGTTAAATGAATCTGAACTCACTTTCTCAAGGATGTCTTCCAACACCAATTTCAGATGGTATTTACGTCCAACATTGTCGATGTCCTAAATGAGGAAAACATTAAGAATATATATTTTGTAATACTGGCCTACTTTGCATTGTGGAAAAGATTCTAATTCTTTGTGTGAAATATACTGCAGCAGTCATTGTAACACAGATGTAGAGCAGGACTATACTATTATTTCCTCCCACCATGTTAGGATTACTCATTTAATATGTGCCTGATGTAACATCTGATCAGGTATCTTCTAATCCATTTCCAGTCTTGCATACTCCTTAACTCCCATGTTAGAGATCACAATATGATTCTCTTCCGTAACTGCTGCTTGGTTAAATACTGAGACAAGAGAGTCTTCATTGGGTTCCTTTTATTGAGTACATCTTGCATTATATTGCACATTGTATTATGTCCTTCTACAGTGCTGGATATCTAAAATAATGACCTAAGCAAGGAGTTTAGTCTTGCTGTAACCTGTGCTCTATAGCAGGTTCACTGGCCAATCAAGAGAGAGTGGTGAGAGTTTGGTCTACCCCGGTAGTAACCAAAAGAGTATCCATCCTCCTAACAGAGCGGGCTTCCGATCTTGCGTAGGGACTGATTCCTTGACTGAACTATTGGCTGCATGGTGAAGGGCACAGTTACTGCAGCAGTAGTGTCAAGATGGGCAAGATCATAAAATGTATTTTGTACTTGCAGTGCAGGTGACACAGACCTGTACTACAGTTAGGGCCTCAAGCAAGGCTGTCATTAACAGACCTTATTTAAACCTGTACCGCAAGACTTGATGTGTGTTTTAATCTCCCTGTGCTGATGTAGTAGCAACGGTACTTGCAACGGTAGTTCTGCATCGAGTAAAGACTTCTGAAGAGGTGCACGGTCTCTGCAAGACAGAGCCTGTTTTTCAGCCTGCTTTTCAGCTGTGAGGTTGTATATATCACAGCAAAGACCATGCCGAAGGGTGTAAGGATCCAAAGGTAGCTTTTAATCTCAATTTTCCCTATCTGCAGAAGAGGCATAATTTGAGGGGGTTTTTTAGGACGTGCCGTTGATTGTTTTAAAAGGCTTTGCCCTCATCATTGTCTGCTGATTAGTCTGTCCATGAAAGATAAGCTAAGCTGTTGCCCACAATTCATAAAGCAAATAACCAGATAATAACCAGGTTTATTCATGTTTAGTATTAATGTAATCTTTGGTAGTAGAAAACAATAGAAACACTTTCAGATCCTCTCCTGCTCATTTGAGGAATTATCTCCCTCTTTGTGAGAAGAAAATAAGAGTATCGTGTTGTGCTGGAGAAGCAATTTGATGTCTATCAGCAGGACTGAGATAGAAGACTGAGCGCATGCCTGGGAGTGACAGGTCTCGTGAATTCACAGAGACTCTCCTACCACCCCATAAAAGAGACCTTCTACCTGAAGGTGGCAGTACCAGTATCCTAAAGTTAGTCTCTAGGGTGAATCTCCGCTAGGGCCCTCCAGTCCCGTCTGGTAATATTCTGAAGACAAGATTAGACAGACAGGTTTAAATAATCCAAGCTACAGCAGGGTCTCTGTGCTGATTTTTATTGTCTAACTACAACATCCTGTACAGCAGGAACAGTACAGTCACCAGGGGTGCAGGCACTAACCTGGCCTGGCCGCGTGTTAACCTTAGGCCAGGCCAGCTGCGGTGCCGCTGCGGGGGCAGGCTGACAGGGAGCGGGGGGCTCGCCCTGGCCAAGGGCTGGGAAGGGGCGAATCTCTTGAGGAGCGAGGCAGGAAGAAGGTCCAAGAGGTCAGCTGAGATGTTTCCATAAGAGGGTGTGATAGAGCCCAGCTGTCCATTGCTAATCATGTAACTGTGCGGTAATAAATTTAGAGCAAAGTCAACGGGAAGAGATGGGAGCAGCGCGGGCATGTAATTTCCTCCTCCTCCTCTTTAAATCTCCTGCGTGGAGAGAGCCCCTGAGCACAAGTCAGCTGCAAGCGCAGCGCCTTGCCGTCCCGCTGCCGGCAGCAGGAGCAGCCTCCCGAAGGCTATCCGCAGCAGACTGAAGGCTGCTGACATCTCACAAGCTTTCCTGTTTAAACACGCTTGGGCGCGCCTCGCCGAGCGCAGCACCAGGCGGGAAAAGGAAACGCGTGGCACGGGCAGGTGCGGCCCCAGGCGGGGCGCCCGCGGCCGCCCGGCTCCCG